TGTTACTGCAAGAGTTCGCAAACAAAACCACATCCGTAAGCATCTGTAGTTGCCAACTGCGTGCACTAAACAAACTCCATTAAAATATGGAACAAAATGAAATAAAACTTAACATTTCTAGAGAAAATGTTGAAATTGATCCCCATTAGCGCGGATACAGGCATGGCGCCGACGCACCCAATTTTGGCAAATATTTTCCCAAATTCCAGGTATTCCCCTAATTATGACAGCAACTTCACGCATACGGTTTCGCAATTCGTCCAACGTAGCAATTGGAGTATTGTAAACCAATGACTTCAAGTGACTCCAAAGATAAAAGTCCAATGGAGTTAGATCGGGTGACGAGGTGGCCACGGCATAGGACCAAAGCGTCCAATCCATCGCTGAGGAAACATTTCATTCAAAAGAATCGTTACTTCTCGAGTACTGTGTGGAGGAGCCCCATCTTGAAGATAAAACATGTGTGCTCGAAATTGTAATGCCACATCGTCCAATAATTCAGGCAACCGGTTCTCCAAAAACTCAGCATATGTTGGTCCATTTAGTCGTCCTTCAAAGAAATAGGGACCCACAAGTACATCGTCTATTATGCCAGCCCAAACATTTACCGAGAACCGATGTTGAAAATGAATTTCCCTAATCGCGTGAGGATTTTCATCAGCCCATATGTGCATATTATGGAAATTCACTTCATCCCGAGTAAATGTCGCCTCATCTGTTACACAAACATAAGCAGGCAAGCCTACTTGATTGGCACGTTGCCGTAAAAATCATCTGCAAAAACGCATTCGTTGATCACAATCCGGGGGTAAAATCTGTGGAACTGATTGCAGATGATAAGAGTACAACAGCTGGCGCCTTAAGATGCGATGTATGGTACGAGATGAGGTTCCTACTTGCTGTGCGAGTCGTCGAGTACTAATTGTGGGGTCTTCGACAAGATTTTCCAACACTGCATCTTCAACATTAAGGTTCACTTGCTGACCACGTCCTTCTCCTCGACGAATAGCACTTCCCGTATCTCGCAGCCGCTGGACGCACTGAAGAATTGTACTTGCACATGGGGGGTGACGTTGTGGACATTGTTCCCGGTACAACCTAGTTGCCGCGAGCGCATTTTCTCCGGCTGCACCATACACTACCATATCGACGCGTTCGGAAATAGTAAATGCATTGTTTTCTCAGTTCATTATAAAACTAGTTTTTGCACAAACTAAAAAATTAAGCAAAGAAATAAGAATCTCGTTTTTAATTTTAGAAAAATTAAAAACGAGATGGAATTACAAAATAAAAACTTTTGTCTGGAATCTTTAACACTGATGGGTCGATGGACGATGCTTAATATTTAATAATTAAGTGAATAATGAATTCAATACAAAATACAAAATCAGTTGACTGCACAAATTTTTTGACAATGTAACCTAACCTTTTAGTATTACTAGTATTAGATTATACCGACTTAAATTATAAGGTTGCATCTCAGGTCGCATAAAAACATTTCCAAGGTATTTAATAAATAACACAAGGCCGGCCATATAATAATAATAATAATAATAATAAATCTTTATTCATGTAAGCCTGTCACAGGATATGAAACGTCATAAATTATTCTAACATACATAAGACAAACCAAAGTTAGAAAACATACAGCATTATACATATATACACATAAAAAACGAACAATTTACCTTGACACAGGAAAATCATAAAATTCCTGTAACGAATAAAAACAGTTGCCGATAAGGAAAGAACGTAATTGTCTTTTGAATAGCCTAATATTTGTATGATCCTTAATGTGACGGGGTAATTTATTGAAAATTGTTCCACATAAGTAAAGCGGCCCCTTCTGAAATGTTGTTAAGTTATGAGTATTTAAATAAATTAAATTGTTCCCACGTGTATTATACGCGTGCACATTGTTATGTTGTTTAAAAAAATGAGGATGGCTTTTAACAAATACGGCAGCTTCGTATATCAATATACACGGTAAAGAAAAAATTTTATATTGTATAAATGATGGTCGACAAGATTGTATCGGATTGAGACCTAGAATCAATCTTATGATTTTCTTCTGGCAAATGAAAATTCTATTAAATTCCGCGCTACTCCCCCAGTAAATTATCAAATATTTTAAATGGGTATAAGCTAATGCAAAATAAATATTTAAAAGATAATGTTTATCCATTATATTTCTCAGATTTCTGATCACATAATAGGCAGTATTTAATTTCTTTACGAGATGACCAATATGAGTCGACCAAGTAAGCTGCTCGTCAATGAAAAGTCCTAAGAATTTTGTGTGTTGTACTTTTTCAATCAT